TTTAAATATTTCCAATCAATATTGATTTTTATTTACTTTCAATTTTGCAACCCTACAACTATAAATACTGAAATTAATAGTTCATTTATTATACAAAATCTTATTTTCATTGTAATATTCAGTTAATGAAACGTTGTAAATTCGCAGCATCAAAAGTAGTGATATTAAGCAACTCCTTTTTTCCCCAGTAATTTTCATCCTCTTCCGAATTGCGGTTATACTATTCTTGTTCCTTGCGGTCGCGATGATTCATCGAAAAATACGATGCGAAAAACAGTGCAATAAATCATAATCCTCGGGGCGTTAAGCCTAAACACACCGCGACGGCCTCTGCGTCGGCCCCGGGATGTGATTAATAATGAGGATTTTCTTGTTGGATGATAAAAGAAATAAGCTTCTTTCATCAACAGAACAAGAAAGGGAAAACTGATGGAAAATGACTTTAATCATCATTCGCTCGATCTATCAATCACTCTACTCTTCGGTTTGGTTTACGATGATCATTTTTTTTTCTATTCTTGATAACCGCGAGGCGACTAATTATTGATAATTAGTTTTTAATTAATATTCGCATACTCATTAATAAATAGATAATAAGAAATATAATGTTGTTTATATGGAATTTCTAAAGTTACGTTTTTTTTATAGTTAAGTTATAATAAGTTTTTTAAACATTTTTGTTTCGTTATTTCATTCAAATTTAACTAAATTATTCGAAACCTAATAAATTCAATAAACATATTCTTAAGTATGGATATTATTGTGTGCGGAGATTTTTTTTACGTTGCATTTTCAAATGTTTCTTGCGAATCTGCTCTGTATTATTATGTTGTGGCGTATTTAGGTAACACTAACAGAACTAACGTCAAAGCTTTTACAGCTCCGTCTGAATAATACTAGTGGCTCCTCGATTAGAACTAAGATTCGATTACTGCACCACCACAGTGGCCTTGCATGCAATTTTTCATAAGCGAAGTCACCTTTGCAACGGACAGGGCGGATATATCCGCCGCTCATACGCAAAGTGTTCAAGAATAAACTATAGAAAATAGAACTTACCATTTTTTGTAATAGTGTTCTGTCACAATTTGTGCCTTCTTACCAATATTTATATCTGATCGTATTAATATTATTCAATAATTTTCTTTTATAAAAACATACTCTGAAAATTACTTAATCTACTAGTATATAGGCATTTCAATTAATAATTAATTATACACATAATTCTGCTAATGACCTTGGAAATACACATAGAACAGATATACATAGACAATAAGCATACACCAATTGTATTAATGCTAATAAACAAAGGCTTTGATTCAAATTGGCATGCGGGGCAAATGTAGAAATCATTTGTATAGTAAATCATGATGTAATTTGATGGACATTAGTTTATTACGCATTCTGCTTTAGTTGACTTCTTCAATATTTTAAATTACAGTCATATACTATAAAATAAATAATAATGATCTATAAATATTAATAAAATATATAATTATTTGAAACATTTAACATTTTCAGACCAGCAATGCCACTGTTGTGGCATAGTTCAAAGTTCCACTACTATTTTCAATATTTTTTTTTGTCAATTAGAACTTATTATAATATTATTGTAATGTTATAACACTTGAAATAGAGCCGATATTTTATGTAATAACTAGTTAGATTCAAACATCAAAACTTTTCTCGAATTTCATATCTGACATTTAATAAAAAAAAGTATGTGAGAAAATGAGTGATCACGTTAACTGAATCTGCTTGGTATTCAAATTGGGAAGGGTCTGAGGTGAAGTTAATTGGAGTGAATATTGGATTGATTGTTCGGTGTAATTGCCGATCAATTTCTGTCGGTTTCATAGCAATCCGTCCATCTTTGTAAAGGATGAAGGACGAAGTACGAAAAAAAAACGTTCCTCGAATACAATTTCGTTTTATTTTATATTTTTCAATCTTCTTTTCAATTTTTTTTTGTTACAGAAGAGTGTGCATTCAGAATTTAAAAAGGAAATATCGGGATTAAATTCAGTGAGTTTCAGTGTATAACAAAAAGAGACCTCGTTCTATGCAGAGCACGAAGAGTGCAAATATTATTGTCGATGATATTCAAAGGGAATACCGGATTTTATGTTTTGTAATTATATTTTTTGTTTCGGCGTTGTTTCGTTTTCGTTAGTGCCGACTGAAAAAGCTTACAAATATAGAAAAAAAAAAAAGAATGACGTCGAAAATAAATGAAAGAGAGGCGAA